GCTGACCCTGCCCGTCTCCCCCCAGGTCTCCTGCCTCCGCCGCGATGGAAACATCTCGCAGGACCCCAGCACCCCGCTCTCCTCCAGCACCCGAAAAACTCCACGGAAGCAGGAGAGAGGGACCCCGACCCAGGACCCAGCTGTTTGTCTCGGAGCGATGCTGTGCATGAAACTCTTTAGGGTGTAATTTATTGTTGATTGCCAGGTAAGGACCAGTCAAGTTCTCTCCTCTGGGAGAAAAATCGCTTTCCCGAGCTGTGGGGAAGGTGATGTCCCCGGCACAGCGGGCTCGGGGTCCCCTGCTTTCCAGGACAATTCCTTTCGGGATGCCGGGACCCTGGCTGGGCTGGTCCCGGGGATTTGAGAACTCAAGATCCAAGGCTTTGGCCAAGGAGGGAGCGAGGAGCCCCCCACAGCTCGGGTTTTACCCCGCTCTGGAGCTCTGCAGCGCGACGGTGCCACGGCACGAGCCACTGCCCGGGCTGCAGGGAGGATTTTGGGGGGCTGCTGAACCCCTCCACTGACCCCGAGGCTCAGGACATCCCCCGCTCCCTCCCATCCCATGGACGTGTCTGAAAATCAACCATTCTGTCGGAACAACCCAGTTTCTTTGAAATTTTTGGAGAAGGCGGCTGGAGATGTTACACACAGCCCTTCCCTCCCCGAGTGGGAGCGTTTGGGGACATCTCGGGAGCATTTTGGGAGCGTGTGGGGTCATCTCGAGATGCTGCTCCGGGGGGGAAATTCAGGCTCTTTCGGGGGGATGACGGACGGATGGTGTTGGGGTTTCCAGACGATCCCACTAAAGTCCAGGGGGAATTTTTCCAGGGTTCAATCCTTGCGTTTCCTAAGGAAATGGCGCTGTCGTAAGCAGGAGGCGGCGCGGCCGCTCGCCCGCCCCCGCACCCTCCCTCAGCCCCGTGCTCGGCCGCTTTTATTTAAATCGGGCAAAAGAGAATCAGATATTTTTTGCTCGTTAGAACAGAAAAACAGAGGGGGGAAAAAAAATCCCCGTGAGCGAGGCTGCGACGGGCGTGCAACCCGAAATAATCCGCGTGGGAGAGACGTGCTACAAATGACTCACGAGCAGTTTCAATTAGTGATCACACTTTATTCGACACCAGAGAATCCAAGGAGAAGCGACAGCGAGGCTCAGGCTCCCTTTTTTTTTCTGTATAATCCTCAATTTCTCTGTACGCCATGAGTGGACTCCTGGCTCCTGGGAGCCAACCGCAGCCTTTAAAAACATCCGAATGTGCTTAAAAAAAAAAATAATAAAAATTCCATTAAAAAGAGGGCTGTGGATGGCTTCGCTGCCTGCATCAGAGGAAATATTTTACAGACCAAAAATGAAACCATAATTAGAAATGCAACTTTTATTTAAAAAAAAATAAAATGTGCTTTAAAAATAAAGCACTTTGTGGAGACTCAGGCTTCCAACCCGAATTTTTTAAAAAAGGGTAAAGTATCTTTTGAAAAATGATTTTTGAAGTAAGGTTTTGTCGAGTCTTTTTTTTAAAAAATAAATCCTTATATTGACTTATTTTAAAATGAGTGAAACATCAGCCCTAAGGGAAGACCACTGGGTTTTATCCCAATGCTCAGCGTCGCGGCCGCGGTTGCCGTTACCAAAGACACAGAAAGTTGTGGGGAGAAAAGGTGTTTGGGGCAGGGAGGGACGGACCTGGAATGTTCTGCCCCTTGTATCATCATGAGTCCTGGTGGAACCCCCTGTCCCTGAGGGACCTCCCAGTGGGACGTTGGGTGCTCCACAGCATCCTGTGGTATTGTGTGGTTCTTCTCACCACAACAACAACCCTTCTGTGACTTCTAGGGGGGGTTGAATGTCCCATTCTCCAGTTACAACAGGGTGGAGTTTGCTGGTCCAGGACGTACGGTGACAGGGCTGGCTGCTCCTCTCTGGAGCTGGAAGAGATGTCCACCATCGCCTTCACCATGAGACACCTCTGATGGTCAGCTGCTAAACCCAGGCAGAGGAGAGCTCGGGGAGGTCCTCCCCTCCATCCCTCCTCCAGGAAGCCATGGGAGCACCCACCCAGTCCTTGGGCTTTAGCATCACTGTGGCAGGACCTTCACCACCACCGCGGCAGGACCTTCACCACCTCCTCCAGCCCCTGCGCTCAGCAGAAAGGGGCATTTAGGGGGCACCATGGGGAGGGAAGGGCGACTCTTCCAAGTGAGTACGTAACTCTGCTGGAAAATAAACACGCTCCAGGGACACCCCCACCTTGTCCCTGTGTCACTTGGCCCCAGTTGGCAGCTGGGGCCGGTGCCCCCCGGGAGCCGTTGGGCACATGGGCCGGGGGGGGACACAACCAAGGAGTGAACGCAGAGGGGTCCCCAGGACTTCAGCTCCCCTCTGGGGTGACCCACCACAAGGGGAGTGATGGATGAAGGATTCCTGGGCCACCAGGAAGGTCTCACCAGGTGCTCCCAGACCTGCCAGGCTGGAGGCTGGGAAGGGCCAGCCCTTGAATTAATGAGCTTAATTAATAACAGCTTTTTTTTTTTTCCCCTTTGGTGTCTTGCCCTGACAGACCCAGAGAAAAACCTGAAAAATGGTAAATGCTGAAGAAATGAAGTGGGGAAAGAGGCCGTTGCTTGGGGCATGTCCCTCTGCGATGGCCTCCACAGCAGAGCTCACCCCCTTGCACCCACAGCGTTCTCCTGGGGGAAACTGGGGAACAAACTCTCCCCCAACACTGAGCTTTGGGGTTCCTCAGCAGCGGGGAGCAGCTGTGGGCCACGTCCCGTCAGGAACTGGTCCTGTGTGGGATGAACCCAGCTGGGACCCACTGGGAGAGATGGGATGAGGTTGGGACCGGGCAGGGGAGGGACATGGGCTGAGGGAGGGAAAGGTGGCACCGGAGGAGCCATGGGATGGGGGGCCATGGGTGCCCGGCTCAGGGATGGAGTGGGGGGAAGGTGCTGCACTGGTGGGCACTGGGGGAAGTGGTGGGCACTGGGGGAAGTGGTGGCGGCACCAGCCTTGGCTCGGGGACACCAGAAATGCCCAAGTGCCCCACAGGCGAAGAAGCACCTTCCCACTGCCCTACAGCCCACCTGGGGAGAGACCCACAGGATGGAGGGACAGCAGCTACAAGGTCAGGCTCTGGAGAAGACAGGGAGAGGTTTTGGGGTGCCTTTTAACCCCTTCCTGCCCAAGCAATGTGAGACCCTCTCTCCTGCCCACCAAGAGGATGCCAAGGAGGGGGCCTATCACAGGTCACCTCGCAGGGTTGGGGGGTACCCGAGCTCCAGCAGCCCCCAGGGTGGGGGGACGGGCAGTGCCACGCTGGGGCCATGACAATTCTCCATGTGAGACTCAGCTGTGAAGGACCCTCACACCCCCCCCGGTCCCTGCCATCGCCCAGCGCCGCAGGACCCAGCTCTGGGCCGTCTGAGACACAGAAATGGTTTATTCTTCCAAGGTCCTTGGGGTTTTTCCTTCCTTCTTTGTTATTTTTTTTCTTTTTTTTTTACAAAATCTCCTCCCTGTGCCCGCCGACGGAGCTTGGCCACCTCCTGGTTTCAGCCAGGTCTCGGTGCCCCGTCCATCCCCTGTCCCCAAACCCAGCTGCAGCCCAGCACCGTGCCACCCCAGCGGGGACCATCCTGGTGGGACAACCCATGGGACACAGGGAAGACACGGGGAAGGCTCTGCGGGTGATGAGCCACACGATGCCCTGGTGCAGTACGAGACAGGATGAAAGAAAATCTAAATGGACACCTCATTTTGGGGGGGCTGACCCTGCCTCTGTCACCCCCAGAGACAGCAGAGGGACAGGCAGGGCATTGCTGGGGCTTTGGGGGGGAGCCGAGCCCGAGCAGAGGGCGACAGGACTTGATGTGATCTCAGCTGGAGAAGAGGAGCCCATGGAGGCACTGGTGGTCTCAGAGGGGGGACTGGAAGACGATACAGGCCCTCGGGTCAGCAGGGGGCTGGAAAGGGCTCAAGGCACCTTGGCAACGTCCACAAGAAGAGGTGTTTGTTTGTTCCCAAAACTCCCAGGGAAAGAAGAGTCTGTAGGTTCACATTAGCACACGTCAATTGTACATAGTGCAAATCAGAGCCCCGGCACCAGAGGGATCGTGCTCTGGGTAGTGGTTTGGGATGTCCCACGGTGCCGTCCCGGGCACTGCAACGCTCCAGCCCTCGCTCTTCCCCACTGCCAGGCCATGGGGGCATCACCCACAGCAGCCAAACCCCTCTCCTGCAGAAGGAGGTCAGACCCCACGTCACTGTCCCACCACCTCGTGCCCCACCAGAGGAAGGGGAGCCAGGAAGCCTTGGTGAGAAGACACGGGGCAGCTTCTCGGAGGCATCGCTGCCCGGGCCAGGAAGAGCTCTGGGTCCCAAAGGTGGCTCCAACCACCCGCAGCGTGGCCACAACATCCATCCCAACGCCCACCCCCTTCCCAAGGGTGAGGGAGATCCCAGGAGAAGGGCAGGACTGCGTCCAGCTGCCACCGCAGCCAGAGAGGGAGAGGCCTCTCACACGTGTCCCCAGAGGGGTCTCAGGTCCTGAAGGTTGGGGACTGATGGCAGGCACGGTCCAGGTTTGCAAGGCCACGCCGTGCAGAGGGAGTTCATGGTTTTCCGTCGGTCCCGAGCAGGAGGATGTCTCCCAGGTGGCTGCAGGAGCATCCTTTATGGAAGACCTGCAGAGGTGGCAGCCAAAGGTCCATGCCCTGTCAGGACCATGACTCGGGGAGTGAGGATGACGTGGCAAACGGGAAACCAGGATCGAAGAGCGAGCGCTGGGCTCAGGAGAGTCCAGCCACATCCTGGAAGCAGGGGAGCAGAGAACGTCACTGCTCATCACTGGTTCATGGGCTCCTCCTCCTCCATCGGCTCATCTTGTGGCCTGAAATGGAGAAATATGACACATGAAGACAAAGAGACCCTCGGGGCCGGGCACCCAGAGAGTGAGGGGCACCCATGTCTCCTGGGATCAGTTAAGAGCATCACCTCTTCTCCACCATCACGGCCACTGAGAGGGAGGCCAAGGCTGTGACCGTCTCCACCTCTTCTGCCTCGTGGTGCTGGGCCTCCAGGAAGGAGCAGCCCAGTTTGGAGGCGAAGCGCTGCACGGCCACCCAGTATTTACCTGCAGGAGGAGCAAAAATCAGGAGGTGCCAGGAAAAGGGGTGCCCCAGGCCTCCAGGCTTCCCATGCAGTGAGTGGGGCATTACCCTCCCATGAGGAGGATGATGATGGAGGGCTCCATCAGGCTTTTTTATGCCATGGAGGCCATGGGGTTTGGTGGAGAGGGGAGGAAATGCCAACATTTGACCCCTCCTTGTTAACTGAGCCCCCGGGACACTCACTCTGGACCTGAACGACTGTTTCCAAGGAGCGCACAGCGTTGGGGTTTGGTTTCTGCCTCATGCTTTCTTCTGGGAGAGGGTCCAGCTGCCAAAGGGAGACACAGGGGGTCACCAGGAGGGAGCTGTGCCCAGGGCTCGGCTCACAGCGTCCGTACTGACCTACTGCCCCCAGGCCAGGACCCACACAAGCCACTGCCCCCCAGCTCCCACCTCGTTGCCCAGCAAGGCTGACACGCAGGCCTCCGACGCGTCGCAGATGGCCGTAAGGTCATGGCCACCTTCCAGAGCAAGGACGATGGCTCCACCAGCCAGGCTCATCAGCTGCTTGGTCATGTAGCCAAAGCCTGGAGGAGAAGCCCAAGGAGGGGGTTGTCAGCCTCCCTGCCCAGAGCACCAGGGCCCTGGCCCAGGTACAACCCCCGAGATCTCCCCCAGCTCCCTGAAGAGCTGCCACCGCCAGCAACGCCACTTCCACCTCCTTACATTTAGCAGAGACTTTGTAGCCACCCAGGGGTGGTGGGTGGCCATCGGCTGCGTCGAAGCCAGCTGACACCAGCACCACATCGGGGGCGAATTCATGTGCAATTGGCATCACCACTGTCCTGTGCAGGCAAAAAAAACAAATAAAAGGTGTTAAGATCTGGCTCAGCCTGACTCTGAGTGACAGAGGAGAGGAGCAGGAACACGAGGCACTCAGAGGAGAGGAGCAGGAGCACAAGGCACAGTACCTGAAAGCAGCCAGATACTCAGGATCACCCATGGGGGGGTCGAGCCCTCCAGTCCAGGCTACGTTGACGTTAAATCCCTCACCGGGGCCAGCACCAACCTGTGAGAGAGCAAGGACACGGGTGAAGGCCTGGAAGAACACTAATGATTCATGGCTACGTCCCCCCAAAGAGGGGGAAATACCAGAAGAAGTGGCTGCCTGGGCCAGCATTGCCCTCCATGACCCCCCGACACCCCCTGCTCCTTAAAGTGCTTTAAGACACAAGTCTTGATTCCAGGATTCAGTCATTGAATGGATTCACAGAAGCCCAGACTGGCTGGGGGGGGAAGGGACCTCTGGAGAACATCTCCCCCAACCCCTGGCCAAAGCAGAGTCGCCCAGAGCAGGTCCCACAGGGTCACGTCCAGGTGGGTTTGGAATCTCTCCAGAGCAGGAGACCCCCCACCCTCTCTGGGCAGCCTCTTCCAGGGCTCTGCCACCCTCACAGCAGAGAAGTTCCTCCTCATGTTCAGGTGGAACTTCCCGTGTCCCAGTTTGTGCCCGCTGCCCCTTGTCCTGTCACTGGGCACCACTGGGAAGAGTCTGGCCCCATCCTCTTGCCCCCCGCCCTTTAGCTATTGTTCAACATCGATGAGATCCCCCCTTACTCTTCTCTTCTCCAGACTAAAACCACCCAAGTCCCTCAGCCTTTCCCCAGTCCCCTCATCATCTTCGTAGCCCTTTGCTGGACTCTCTCCAGCAGTTCCTAGTCCTGCCTGAACTGGGGAGCCCAGAACTGGTCCCAGTCTCCAGCTGGGGCCTCCCCAGGGCAGAGCAGAGGGGGAGAATGACCTTCTTCCAACCACTGGCCACCCCAGGAGACCATTTGCTTTCTTGGCCACAAGGGCACATTGCTGGCTCATGGGCAACTTGTTGTCCACCAGGACTCCCAGGTCCCTCTCTCAGAGCTGGGACTGGGCCATCCTCCTGACACAACAAGCATTGATCAGATCCCCCCTCAGCCTTCTCTTCTCCAGGCTAAAAAGACCCAAGTCCCTCAGACTTTCCTCCACAGGGAGATGTTCTAGTCCCCTCATCATCTTCGTAGCCTTCTGCTGTCCCCTCTCCAGCAGTTCCCTGTCCTTCTTGAACTGGGGAGCCCAGAACTGGACCCAGCACTCCAGTACTCTCCCAGCTGCCACCTTTGTCATCCCTGGGCAGAGCTGCAGGGACCTCACAGCCCCTCAGTGCTTCTTACCTCGTCGGCGGCCCCGCTGCCGGGGAAGAAGTTGCCATCATCGTGACGATGCAAAGAGATGTAGAGAACGTCGGGGTCTCTGTAGAAGATCTGCTGAGTCCCATTGCCGTGGTGAACATCCTGGAGGGAGAGAGAAGGAAAATGCTCTTTTTTTCAGCCTTGATGGTGGCCCAAAAGCCTAATGGGGCTCAAAGCAACTGGATCCACACCCTGCTCCAGGGCTGTGTCCCCATTCCCAGGATCTGCTCCTGCTCCCCCACCCTGAAACGCAGCTGGTCCCCAAAGGAGGAGGTTCTGCTGCTCTCAGGTGTCAAATCAGAGCTGGGAGGAGGCTCCTGGGGATGTCCTTGGGAGGAGTGGGGACACGCTGGGGGACCCAGGAGACTTACCCAGTCCACAATGAGGATCTTGCCAAGTTTCCCTTTCTGCTGCAGCTGCCTGGCAGCAATGGCCACCGAGTTAAAGAAGCAGAATCCCCTGCAAAGACGGAGTCAGAGCCAGTTAATGCCCTGGGGCCCTTCCTCAGCACCCTCCGCTGCTCACCCACGTGCTCCCTGAAGGTGGGCTCGCCCTCCCTTCTCCCCAGCCAGGATACAGATCAGTCCTGGGGAAGGTCCATCTGGAGTGATTTTGGGCCAAGGAGGTGTGTTTTGGGGCTCCCCAGGTGCCAGCCCAAAGCCCCACCACCTGGGAAGGGACCCTTACATGGCAGTGGAAGGATCCGCGTGGTGTCCTGGTGGCCGCACCACGGCGAAGCCGTTCTGGGGGATAAAAGAAAGGAGAGTGATCAGAGCTGCTGCCCCCAGCGTCACGCACCCCCTCCACCCCCCTGATGGCAGTTCCTGCCACACGAGGACACCAGGAATGGAGCTGGCAGCAGTACAGGACCAGGAGCACCCAATGCCAGCTGGCAAGTACCCCCCAGCCCCCTGTTGCCCAGCTATGGGGTGATGCTCAGCTCTGGGACCGCCAAAGGAAGCCACTCTACCTTCAGCTCCCTGGTGGCCACCTTGAAGGCCAGCTCGGTGACGCTGCCTGCGGCCCAGCGGGCGGCGTTGGAGGAGTGCAGCTCGTTCCAGATGGTATCGCTGTCCACCTGGAAACCAAAGGGACGGGTCAGATGGGGACACGGACCCACAGAGCAGATCTCGGCCATGGGACCCACGCTGTCTGCCAGGAACCCAGGGGCTGAAGTCCAAGGGCTGGGCACGGTGGAGCTGGACCTGGGGGTGTTGGTCGACTGTGGGCTGAACATGAGCCAGCAGTGTGCCCAGGTGGCCAAGAAAGCCAAGAGCATCCTGGCCTGTGTCAGGAACAGTGTGGGGAGTAGGGCCCGAGAGGTGATTGTCCCCCTGTACTGGGCACTGGTGAGGCCTCACCTTGAGTACTGTGTCCAGTTTTGGGCCCCCTACCATAAAAAAGACATTGAGGTGCTGGAGCGGGTCCAGAGAAGGGCAACAAAGCTGGTGAGGGGTCTGGAGAATAAGTCTGATGAGGAGAGGCTGAGGGAGCTGGGGGTGTTCAGCCTGGAGAAGAGGAGGCTGAGGGGAGACCTTATTGCTCTCTCCAACTCCCTGAAAGGAGGGTGTAGAGAGATGGGGGTTGGTCTCTCTTCTCAAGTCACAGGTGACAGGACAAGAGGAAATGGCCTCAAGTTGCACCAGGGGAGGTTCAGGCTGGATATTAGGAAAAATTTTTTCACTGAAAGGGTTCTCAGCCCTTGGAATGGGCTGCCCAGGGAGGGGGTTGAGGCCCCATCCCTGGAGGTGTTCAAAAGCCGGGTTGATGTGGTGCTGGGAGGTCTGGTTTAGTGATGATGCTCCTTGTGTGGGTGTCTATTTTTGTCAGTTAGGTTGACGGTTGGACAAGATGATCTTTAAGGTCCCTTCCAACCGAGAAGATTCTGTGATTCTGAGCTGGACCACCTCAAATGCCACAGGGCAAGCTTCCCAGTGGGTCCCAGTATGGCAGCTCCTCAGCCTGCTGTCAGCCCCAGCCCCCAGCCAAGCTCCACGTCTCACCCTGCACCCGGGGGCTGGAAGGAGTGACTGAGAAAAGGCTCATTACCTTCTTTATCTTATTTTATTGTTTAACCAAACATCTTGGTTTGATCAGGATCACGTCAAGGGCCGAGCCAGAGCCGGAAAACTCAAAGTCTCTTCTGATCAACTCCATGTGTGCAACAAAAAGGCTCCCCCCTGCCCACGGAGCCCCCCCGCCACGGGCGAGAGGAGGGCAGGGAGCAGGGGCAGAGCAGGGAAAGTAGATGCAAACAGGGCTGAGAAGAGCTGGTGCCCAGCAGCAGGGGCAAGGAGAGGAGAAGAACCAGAAGAGGCAGCAGGAAGGCATGGAGTGAGACCCCTCCTGAAAGAGAGAGAGAGAAGGACAGAGACGGGGGGGAGAGAGGAAAAGAGGAGAACGCAATGAATGGAGAGAAACCAGGGTGGCAAGCTGTGAAAGGAGAGGCCAGAGGAGTGTCTGGAGGGAAGGGGCAAGCTGCTGTCCCCACGGCACAGCTCCCCCCCCACCCAATGGAGACCACAGTTTGCAGCTTTGCAGCTCCCCCCCCAGCCCACCAGCTCACTCCCTTCTAACCTCCCAGGCTCTTAGACGTGGCCACGAGGGGGTTCAGTTCCTGGGCCCCTCAGAGTAAGAAGGCACAAGGATCCTCTCTCAAGGCTGGGATGCTCAGGACCACCCCGAGGACAGGGGGAAGCTCTCATACAACATCATCTTGCCTACATGGAGTGCTCCCACCTGAGGCTATCCCACCTTGGCAGCCCAAAGGCTTTGGGAGCTCCCTCTCTGCTCAAGCCCACCAGGAGGACCTGGCTGGGGCCAGATGAGAGGAACAACCCCATCCAAAACCACCCAGAGCAGAGATGGAGCACTTACCCCAACCCCTCCGCAGGGCAGCATGACAAACATCCGCTGCGACAGGATCCCTGAGGAGAGAGGGGACAGCGAGGACTTCAGAGGTGAGAAATGGTGGGAGACAGGGGGCATGGTGTGGGGATACCAAGGAGGGGGGTTTGGCCCGGCTGCTGGCCAGAATTAGGACCAGCCCCCTGAGGAGCTGTTTTTCATGGTCTCCAAGGGTGCTCTGAGACCCGGGGTGCCAGGTGGACGTGCATGGTGTGGGGATACCAAGGAGGGAGGTTTGGCCCAGCTGCTTGGCCAGAATTAGGACCACCCCGCAGAGGAGCTGTTTTTCATGGTCTCCAAGGGTGCTCTGAGACCCGGGGTGCCAGGTGGACGTGAGGGACGGGCAGAAGGTGAGGGCAGGGCTGCCCGAGGGATGGTGAGGATGTGGATGGACCCACCTGCCAGCTTCCCATTGTCCAGTTTCAGGCGGTTGAGGGGGTTGGTGCCATAGAGGAAGACGTGGCGCTCGGTGTGGACACACTGCAGCTCCTCCAGCGTGGCCTTGCGTCCCCGCAGACACTGTGGCAGAGAGGGGCTGTGACCAAGCTGCCCCGAGTGGGACGTGCCAGCTCTCCCACCCACCCACACCTGCCTCCAAGGGTGGAGGTGACACATTCTGCTGTCTGAGCACTGTCACACCTCGTGTCACCTCAGCCTGGGGGGCAGCTGCGAGGCTGAGCACAGTGCTTCTTGCACTGGATTTGAAGTGGGGCAACCCCCCTCACTCGCAGGCAGGGACCAGGCAGGAAATGCCAGCACCACCTTATCATAGAATCATAGAATGGTCTAGGTTGGAAGAGACCCTTGGGATCATCGAGTCCAACCATCTCCCCTACTCTACAAAGTCCTCCCCTACACCATGTCCCTCAGCACTGCATCTAAACGGCCCTTCAACACAGCCAGGGATGGGGACTCCACCCCCTCCCTGGGCAGCCTCTTCCAACGCCCGACCACTCTTTGGGTGAAAAATTCCTTCCTAATGTTCAATCTAAACCTCCCCTGTTGGAGCTTGAAGCCATTCCCTCTCGTTCTGTCACTAATGACCTGTGAGAAGAGACCAGCACCAACCTCTCTACAGTGTCCTTTCACGGAGTTGTAGAGAGTGATGAGGTCTCCCCTCAGCCTCCTCTTCCTCACACTAAACAGTCCCAACTCCCTCAGCTGCTCCTCATACGATTTGTTTTCCAACGGCCAGAGAGCCTTGTATGGACCAGTCAGCCCAGCTGGACCAGGACAAGGTTTCTAACAGACTGGAGCTGACACTGATGTCCCCAGAGCTGGGGAAACACCCTGGGTCAGCCAGGATCAGGCCTCTCCCTACGCCCACCCTCCAGCAGAGCAGACTCTGCTGCCACCCCAAGCTGGAGATGGTCAGACCAGTATGTTCCAAACTGGCTCTGCCAGCAGTGGACAATCCAAGCCCTCTGGATAATGGTGGTAAAGAGGCTGAGAAGTTCTGGGAGCTGAAGGGATGGAGGTGGGAGCAGGATACCCTATCCCACCACGGGATCTGCTCTGAGCATCCCCCTCCCAGCCAGGGGTCTGCTCCCCCCCTGCCCTCACACTCACCTCGCACTGGCTGCGCAGCCCCCTCTCCTGCAGCCGGGACCAGATGCTCTGGATCCTGCCCGCGTGCTCGGGGTGGTTGCTGTTGTCACCACAGGAGCACTGGTGTTTGAGCATCACCGAGTCATAAACCAGCCCTGCAACACACAAGGAGAGCTGCTGGTCCAGGACAGGGTTGGACACCCAGGCCTCGATGGTGCTGATCCTAATCCAGGTCCTTCCCAGGGCCTGGCCGAGACCCTAAACACCCATAACTACATTATTTGACTGAAACCCCTCCCTCAAACCATGGAAGTCCCTGTCCCAACATGCTTGAAGCAAATCCTGCACTGGATATATGAGAGCTGAACCTTGCCAGCATTGCTGGACCAGGATGGTAGCCAAGGGGCCAGATGGGCAAGTCCTGCTTGGAAAAGCCACCTTAGATACAGAGAAGGGGACCACCATGGCTTGGTCTGCTCTTTTTGCAGCCAGCCAGAGAGCTCCTGAGCATTTATGAGTCTGGGGGTGACCGGGACTGATGCTAATCTGCCCCTGGGCATCCCCACCTCCCTTCCAGCTCTTGTCCCCAGCCCCGGCTGCTGCTCCCACTGTGACATCCCCACACGGGGCCATACCTGTTGTGAAGTGTGGCTTGGCTGGCTGCTCCTGCACAGACAGGGACAGCGTCTTGGAGGCTGTGTCCTGGGCAGGAAGGGAGACGGTGGCGGTGGCAGGAGATGACTGGGCCCTGGAGAGCGGCCTGTGCCCCGTGTGGATGGTGGGGACCATGGGGGAGTCGGCCAAGGGCTGTCGCTTGAGGAGCTGCTGCTGCACACGCTGGTAGGAGTCCCAGAGATAGGCCTGGTGGAGAGAGGTGACAGTGAGCGTGGCATCGGAGCCAGGTGCCAGCGCGGTGACAGCAGCATCACCCGGCTCAGGGAAGGGTGATGAGCACCTTCCCGGGGTCTGGATGTGACAGCCCCCTGTGGGGGTGTGCTCTCCCTGGTTTGCCCCCCCCCCCTTTTCGGGTCCTGCCCGGCCTTGGCCACCACGGCCATCACAACAGCAGCTGTGATAACTTGCACCCGGTCTCTGGGGGATGGCTGGCAGCAGAGTCAAAATACTGGCTGGAGTGGGGACGTAGAAATTTTGTTGCCATGAAAATATGACTATAGGTCAATTATCTTACTGTATAAATAGTGGACAGCCCCAGAGCCCCTTGGAGCTCTCCTGTACGGCAGCGGCTGCACGCCAGGATCTCCCCTTTGGTGAGGACGCTCGCTTAAGGGTCTACTCCTCGAGGTTGAGAGATTCCTTGCCGCAACAGACTCTCGGTAAGTGACTAATAGCATGCTAAACTTTGAAATTTTATCTAAGTAATGTAAAGGATTGATTGTGCATATATAATCCTTTAGACATAAACCGTTGACCAAGTCTGGGACTAGGATTGGATCCAGCCGCACCCTGACTCCTCTCTGAGAAGGAGTTTAGGAAGCCAGGGGGTCCTTTCTGAACCTCGTGACTCAACGGGAGGGTCTCCCTGACAGCCTGTCTGACCCTGTCCTCTGGGCAGTAAATAACAGAGTGTACCCTGACATCGAATCTTGTAAAACACTATCGCATTTACCACTGGTTTTATCACACTACTGGTTTTGTTAAATCAGTGTTTCACCTTAATAAATATTTCACTGCTTCACTCTAACTAGTGAAGTTAATCACTCCATCCCTCCGTGCTGGGGGGCTCGGAGCTGCTTTGCAGGAGCTGGGACGTGTCAGGCAGCATCTGCTGCTCTCTGCTGGCTCAGCCCCGCAGCGCTGGGCAGCCCGGCTGCGGGCACCGCGACCTGGGGACGATGCCCAGCCTTCCTGGCACCAGGGGTGGCCACAGCTCTTGTTCACTGAATTTCACTGAATTTCACTGAATTTCAGAGTTGGAAGGGACCATAGAGATCATCTAGTCCAACTCCCCTGCTGAAGCAGGATTGCCCAGAGCTAGAGCATGTTACTCAGGAGCATCCAGGTGGGTCTTGAAAATCTGCAAAGAAGGGGACTCCACACCCTCCCTGGGCAGCCTCTTCCAGGGCTCTGCCACCCTCACCGTGAAGAAGTTTCTCCTCATATTTGAGTGGAACCTCTTCTGTTCCAACTTGTGCCCGTTGCCCCTCGTCCTCTCACTGGGAACCACTGAAAAGAGTCGGGAGCCCAGAACTGGACACAGTACTCCAGTTGTGGCCTCACCAGTGCAGAGCAGAGGGGGAGAATGACTTCCCTTGACCTGCTGGCCACACTCTTCCCTATGCAGCCCAAGATACCATTGGCCTTCCTGGCCACAAGAGCACACTGTTTACTCATTGTCATTTTACTGTCCACCAGGACCCCTAGATCTTTCTCTTCAGTAGTTGCCTCTAGCAGGTCCACCCCTAACCTCTACTGGTACCTGACATTTTTCTTCCCCAGGTGCAGGACCCTACACTTTTCCCTGTTGAACCTCATGAGGTTCTTCCTTGCCCAGCCCTCCAGCCTGTCCAAGTCTCGCTGGATGGCAGCACAGCCCCTCCGGGGTGTCAGCCACCCCTCCCAGTTTGGGATCATCAGCAAACTTGCTGAGGATACACTCTTTCCTGTCCCAGCAAACTGCCCTGGGCTGGAGGAAGGTACAAACGTGGTGCCTGTGTCCCACACAGCAGCCCTTTATGGAGGTGGCTCTCAGGGTCTGATCTGGATCTTCCTGGGCTCAGGAAGCCACCAGCTGTGCTGGGTTTGTGCAGAGCCTCCAAAGGGAGACACCAAGAGATGGAGAAAAGAATTGCTCCAAGTGGCAGGGCAGGGATCTGTGCATGCTGCCTGCTCAGGATAACGCTCAAATTAAGCCACAACTGGAGAGAGGGACAAGGCTCAGAACTCCACCTCTTACAGCCCGCTCCTGAGCCTGTTATGAAGGCTTCAAACCACCTCAAGGGCTCCACGCAGCTGAGGACAACCAGGGAAGCCACTGTCCCTTTCCCCATGGGCTCCGTATGCCCAGCAGGGGCTTCAGGTTGGCAGCCCCAACCCCTCCCCAGGGGTCTCCCACCCCTGCCAGCCCGTGGGTACCTGCTGTAGGACAAGCTCCTCTTGAGGCTGCATCATCTTCTGCGTCCTCTCGGACTCCTTCATGCTGCTCCCCGGCCGGGTGGGCTCCACGCGTGCCCTCACCGGGTCGCTGCCCTCAGCCCCGGCCTCCGGGAGCGTCCCCTCGGCCTCCATGTCCTCCGAGGACGGGATCTGCCGCAGACGGGGCTTCTCGCTGGATTTCGCCATGCGCTGCAGCCAGAGGGTCAGGGATGAGCACACAGAGGGGGCAGGGGACAGGACAGGTGTCCCGGTTTGAGGTAAAACCGGATCAATTTTGTGTTCTGTAACTTTGCATTTTAGTTAGGCCTTTTCTAACTCTCTGAAATTAACGGCGTATTGTGGAGAAAACTGTTCCTTCTCAGAGTGATAAGACCAATGTTTGTGCTCCATGCCAGGGAATGGTGAGCAGAGAGGCCCTGGCTTATACTTATTGCTATAACAACCAAGGGCAGCCAATTTTCGTTATTTGCCCCTTGGAGGGTCGGAAACAGAAAAAATGTAGAGGGGTCACATCTGTGGGGAGGAATGGACAGGACAGGTGACCCAAACCTGACCCACAGGGGTATTCCATCCCATCTGCCCCATGCTCAGTGTAAAAGCTGAGGGATCAAAGGGTCAACTCTCTTCCTGCAATGGCCGACGTCCGAAGAGGACCCTGTCTGTCCATCTGCCTTTGATCCCCACGTGTTCCTGACTCCAGAGCTGGAATCCTGCTCCTGTCCATCACCCAGTCCAGTCTGGGACTTCCCCAGTGCCTGCTGGTGACGGGACTGTCATCCTGGGAGCTTGATATGGTTTTGTATATATGTTATATCTATTTCATTATTTTCTTCTCTTTTATTTTAATATTATTTTTGATTAAAGTAGTTTAATTAATTCTAAACTTTTCAATCTCCTTATCTCTTCCTCTCCTCTTTTGGCGGGGGGGGGGGGGAGGGCTGTTGGTTCGGTTGCGGTGATTTTGGCTGAAACCACAACAACAGGCCAAGAAGGTCATGGGGGGTGGCAGGGCATCTGGAGGCAGGAGCAGGATGGACGGTGGAGCCAGGGAAGCTGAGCAGGTACCCTCAGCTTGCTGCTATGAGTGTGGGCAGCACCTCACATGGACCCTGGATGTCTGGAACTCACTGGCCAGCTGGCAGGGATGCCATCCTGCAGCCTTCTAGCATCCCTCTCCTCCACCACTTACCTTGCCCAGATGCGTCTGCTGCTTGAGTCTCTCCAGGAACTGGGTGTGATGCTGCTGGTACACCAGTTGCTGCTGGATGGCCTTGGGGTTCTGGGGCAAGGGCTCCGAGCGGGTCCTGCCCAGTGGTTTGTGGTGTCCTGGGAGCGACAGGCGCTCTGCGGAGATGAGCGAGGGGGCGAAGGAGAAGGGGACCGTCCCCAGGCCTGGCACTGGAGGGGAGAGGAAGGAGAGGTGAGGGGTGGCATTGTCCACTGGGCAGATGGGACACCCTGCAGAGCTGTCAGTCCACACCATGGCAAGGAGCCCTGCGGATGGTCTGTACCCACGCAGACTGTCTCCTGCAGCCCTAGAAAGACAGTGCCCAGCCCTGGAGCCCAGTATCTGGTAGAACGGGATGAACAGGCTGTACATTGATGTCTCCCCTCCTTCTGCCCCCATAGCTTTGGCATCACACACCCCACACAGGGGTCTGGGGACAGGATCTGGCTGACCTCCATCATCTCAGATCCCCCCCTCAGCTTCATCCTCGGTGGGAGAAGCTTTCTTCACTGCAGGTAACACAGGGCAGGGAGAGATGGAGCCAGGAACCAGCAGAAAGGAGCCAGTTCTCCTGCTACAATTAGAGCATATCATCTAGAGGGGCTGGGGGAAAAAGGCAATCAGAGGCACGGCCAAGAGGTCTGAGCTGCCCTTTCAACACAGGGTCTGCAGTGAAATCTGGTGGCACAAGAGCCTGGGGGGCGGCAGGAAAGACCTCTTGGAGCTGCAGGAAAGACCTCTTGGAGCTGCAGGAAAGGTGAATTGCTCCCCAGCAGCCCAGCTCAGGCAGGGAAAGGGGCAGCTGGAGGGAAGAGCCAAAGCTGTGGCTCCCTCTGCGCTGTCGAGGCTGCAGGGCCTCCAGAACTCCCATTTCACCATGGCAAGGACACACTTGCCAGCAACCAGAACCAGCATCCCTCGGCTCGTAGGACAGTAATGGAAAAATCAAGGCCCCTGGGCTTTCCTGGCACCCAAAAAACCTGCCAGCCCCCTGCAGAGCTCCACGCTGAGCCCTGCCAGTGCTGACACAGCCCTCACGCTGTCCCCGAGCTCGACACTTACCCGCCACCAGTGGAGTGTGGGTGACCGAGGGCTCGAGGATGATGACGGGCTGGAGCCGAGGGGATAAGGGGCTCCCAGCCTCGTGCTGCTCCAAGCCAGTCGGTATGAACATGGGCGAGTGGGTGCCCGCGAGGACGGGCCCGTTCAGCACGGGCACCCGGTGTGCCAGGCTGGAGAGGGGACGGCGGTCGGCCTCTCCCTGCAGAGACAAGGAAGAGGAGGAGGACAGGGTCAGCCACCCGCTGGGACACAGCACAGGGAGGGGATGGCATAACCCCACCGTGCCCACTCAGAGCCCACACACACCCGGCATCACCCCAGGAACCCCGGGCCCAAAGGAAAGGGCTTTCCCTGCCCAGCGGGGACCCTCTGCCCAGTTGTGGGGTTACCTACAACCTGGCTACCTACCCTGGAGCTAGTGGTAGCCGGCAATCCCAGTGTGATGGCCGGAAGGGAGGCTGCACTCTGCAGGGCAAACTGGGCCAGTGAGCTCTCCTGCATCATCAGGCGCTGGGCCAGTGGTGTCTGCACCAAACACAACTCATTAGTTCCTGCTCCAGCAGCGGCCGAGCTCGGCGTGGGACAAGTGGGACAAGTGGGACAAGTGGGACAAGCAGCTCAGGCACGGGCCAGGCAGCAGAAGAGGGTGCTGAGGCCCAGCTGCCCCGTGGATACACCAGGGGCCAGGGCACGGGGCATCGGGGACCCATGGGGACAGCACATCCACTGGCAGACAAGAAATACACTCTGCAAAGGAGGGCAGCATGGCAGGAGCAGCACTGGGCTGGGCAGAGGATCCCACCACGCAGGGAGAGAAGGGCAGCTCTGGGGCAGTGGGGTTCAGGGCTGGGGTCCCCAGGGGCAGACACTACCTTTGCCTGAGCCCGAGGACAGGGATGGGACATCTGGGCACCCACCCGTGGGGTCAGGATGCCCCAACCCTGACTCAGAAGCCCCAGGCAGGACCTCTGGCTGCTGGGCTATGGGAGCTCACCTCGTGGGCCATGCTGGAGGCGGCGGGGAGGGCTCCGTGCTCGGCGGGGAGGCTGTCGTTGGGAGAGCTGCAGCCGGACACGGGGGTGCTGCTACTGCTCGGGGAGGAGTCTGTGCAAGAGAGAGAAATGGGGGTGATGGGCACAAGCACCCAGAGAAGGGCTGCACAGCCCCTGCCCCAGCCCTTCATAGCCCCCCCACCCTCCTGGGGCCAAACCTCCCCTTGGGCATGTGGCACAGTGGAGATGGAGCCGTCCTGCCAGCAGAGAATCATAGAATGGTTTGGGTTGGAAGGGACCTCAAAGATCATCCAGTTCCAACCCCCCTGCCATGGGCAGGGACACCTCCCACTAGAGCAGGTTGCTCTCCAGCCTGGCCTTGAACACTTCCAGGGATGGGGCATCCACGACTTCCCTGGGCAACCTGTTCCAGTGTCTCACCACCCTCATAGTAAAAAATTTCTTCCTGAGATCTAATCCGAATCTTTTTTCTTCGAATTTAAAAAAAAAAATACTTCCATCCTACATGGACTCTCATCCCAATCATAGAATCGTCCAGATTGGAAGGGACCTTTAAGATCATCAAGTCACAGAATCACAGAATCTTCATGGTTGGAATGGTTGAGATCATCGAGTCCAACCACCAAAACCAAAACAAAACAACAAAAAACCAACCAACCCACAAAGAGCCCCAGCCCAACAATCTCAGGCACTAGAACATGCCCTGAAGAGCCACATCTATATGTTCCTTAAATCCCTCCAGGGATGGCGACTCCACCACCTCCCTGGGCAGGCTGTTCCAGTGCCTGACCACCCTCTCAGGAAAGTCATTCTTCCTGATATCTCATCTAAACCTCCCCTGCCCCCAACTTCAGACCATTCCTGCAAGCCCAACTTTTGTCAACAGATACATCAAAGTTGTGACTTGGAAGGAACTTCTCTACAGGGGAGTGCTACACCATTGAGAAGCAAAGGCCACTCAACCTTCCTTCACACCCTTCAAAAGATTTAGAGAGTGAAGAAGCCTGACCAGCTGCGTTTGCTCAGGGCAAACCTTTCCAGCCTTGTAGGTCCACCACGGGCCAGGAAAGCAGCACGGTACCGCTGCAGATGTGTCCTTCCCTTATTCATCCATCCCTGCACCATCATGACAAAGCTCTCTCCACAGGCTGTGCCCTGAGGAGGCCACCAATAACATGCCAAGCCCCAGCATCACAGCCCCCAAGCAGATGTGATGCAGGATCCTGGGCTCCAGCCTGGCCCCAAGGTCTCTCCAACCACCCCCCTGGGTATCACCCTCCAGGTGAAGCCCTCACCGATGGCCTCGGGCGGCCGCCTCTTCAGCGAGGGGGGAGCGCTCTCCTTCCGCGTCAGGGGGTTCTTGCGTCGGTCAAGGCACTTCCTGGGCTTGCACCTCACCTTCAGGTTGGGCTCAGACGCTGCGAGCAGACAAGGCAGTTAGTCCCAGCCCCACTGCTGATGGGGGCGAAGCTGGACAGGTTTTAGGGGGCCAGGCCACCCTGCTTTCAGGTCCAGCCCTCCCCTGGGAGCAGGCTGTATCACGGCAGGAGGGAGACAGTGTTACCCCCAGGGCCTTACCCGTCTTCCGCAGCGGGAAATGCTCCGGGGGGTCGAGAGAAGTGCTGGGGACAGGGGACAGGAAGGTGCTGAGCACAGGAGGGGAAGGGCCCTCAGGATCCAGAGGCTCCAGAGACCTACAGGGAGAAGCCACCTTGTTAGAGACCATGGTGCCACCAACACGACACCCTCCAACCCAAGGGTGGCCCATGGGACGTTGCCTTTCTCAGGCACACGATAGCTGCTCTGCTGGTGGCCAGAAAGGCTTGTCCTGTCCACAAGCACCTACAGAAGGGATCCAGCTGCTGGATCCACCTTGTCTTGGAACAAAAGAGAAGCAGCCTAACAGTACTTTCTAGGCCTGGAGTTGGACAAGCCATCGAAGTCCAACAAGGTCAGAGAAAACATGGGAGCTTTGTCCACCTCCTGCAAACACTTAGCACAGAACCAATCCACCTCATCCCGACCCACATCAGCTAAACAGTATCTCTGCAGAAGGCAGCCACAAGATCTTGCCCAAGATAAATAGCTGCTTTTTCCAGGTCCTGAGCACGTGCCCTGCTCGGGGCAGGCCAGGGAATGCCCTTGTTTTACCTGTAGGGCATGGCTGAGGGGTTGGGGTTGCTGGTCCTCTCCAAAGCTGCCTGCTGCTTCTTCAGGATGACCTCAGCCAGCTTCTGCTTCACCACCGTGCTGGCCACAGCACCTGCAGGGAGACCAGCAGTGACCACACAGGGCTGAGAGCCAACACAGAGCACTTCAAAGGATCCCTGCAGACACGAGCACGGCCCCAGAGCCCCCCCACAGCTGCACAAGTAATGGCTGGAGACCCCCTGCCAGCACCCAGGCACGGACAAACCCCGTGGAGATGCTTGGTGCAGCTCAGGTCAAGGTTAGGCCAGGGAGAGAAAGGCCAGTTGGGACAAGTGGAGTTTCCAGCTGGTCAGGGGAGGGTCCCTGTCCCACCCTCACCCCACGTCACCTCAGGAGCCCCATCTTTCTGTGCAGGCTTTGCTGGGTGGCTGGTGAAAGGCAGAGCGTGGCCAGAGGCGAGTCTCGGCTGTGGAACTGCCTGCTTCATCCCAGCCAGAGAGAGAGCAGGTATAAACTGACACCCACGGAATAAAGAGTGCACAAAAGCACAATGTGGCTCGAACAGCAGTGACAAAACTCCTACGGGTGCAGAGGAACCTTGTGAAGCCTCTCCAGAGACACCGTGCCCAGGGGCTCTTTGATAACTGATAATTTCCAGTCGCCAGCGTTCAGCTCTGCCTGCACCTCAGCTCCCCACGCAGCCACGCGCTCCCCCAGATGGGGACAGCTCGTGTGACAGACAGCAAGAAAAAAGCACCTCCCAACAGCTCAGGGGAGAGCTCTGAGGCTGCTGAATCTCTCAACGGAGCTGTGTCATAGAATCATAGAATCATTGAGGTTGGAAGAGACCCTTGGGATCATCGAGTCCAACCATCTCCCCTACTCTACAAAGTCCTCCCCTACACCATGTCCCTCAG